GCCTGGGCGGCAAGCGAGGCCAGGCACCCCGTCTGTGGAGAGAGGGTTTGGGGGACAAGGACTCCTGCCACTGGCGGTTCGGGACCTGCCAAGGCCCGGCTGAGCATTTGCCATAGATCCTCTTTGCCCTCCTAGTTTGCCAACAAACAAACAAACAAAAACCAACCCCAGAACTGTTCCCTGCTCACCTCCGGCCAGAGGCTCAGGGAAGGTGTGCAGGGACAGAAGCAGGGAGCCACGAGGCTCGTCATTCCAAACCAGCCACACTGGAGAGGGTCTCTTGGAGAACTGGAGTGGGGGTGGGGGTGGGCAGAGTCTTAAGAGAGAGCGGGAGGGGGTGTAGAAAGAGTGAGGAGTCACCGGGAGCTGCTGTGCCCTGCAGAAAGAACGTGACAGAGAGCTCCAGCTTCTCCGCAGGGGACAACCCCCACATCCTGTACAGCACTGACTTCCGCATCTCTGGGGCACCCGACAAATACGAGGTGAGGGCCGGGGTCATGTGACCATGCATTCCCAGAGGAGCTGGGTGGAGGTGGGGAGGGGGGCAGGTTGGAGGGGGGGCATTGTGGAGGAGCCCCACTTTTCCCGGAGCCCCTGGCTCAGGCTGCTGTGGCAGGGATTACAGAGGGTGGTACCGAGGGTGGCCTTAACTCTCGCTGCTGTCTGTCATTGACTTTCCTTCTCCAATAGTCCAAAGAGGTCTCTCCCTTGGAAAGTCACTGAGAGCCCCGAGGTAGGTCCGGGCCTCAGTGTGCCGACCCCCGGGGACCTGGCTGGGCCCTGGGGCAGGTGTGCATGTGTGTGTGTGTCCTTGTCAGCTCAGACATCATCTGATCCCGGGCAGCCCTGCCCCGCAGACCCAGCCTCTGTCCACTCTGTGCACTCTGTCCACTTTGCTGTTTGCCTTCTGTCTGTGGCCACTGTCCTGTGTGTGCGACGCAGATGGGTGGGGGTGGAGAGCTTGGAGAGCGGGCGGCAGAGGCCATCTGGACAAGAGCTCCCAGGGACAAAGAAGAATCGAACCCAGGACCTGCAAGCTGAGACCTGACCACAGAGACCCATCAAGAAGGGAGGGCGCTCTGGGTTACCGTGATCTCCACCAAGAGCCAGCCTCTTTTGAGGAGGCCTCTGAAACACGTAGCAAATTTCAAGGGCAGGACCCAGCCTAGCAGCACCTGCCTGTAATCCCAGCTACCCCAGGGAGGCAGAGGTTAAGATGACAGCCAAAGGCAGCTCCTGGGGACAAAAGTCTAAGACCTGGCCTGAAAAACAGTATCGATAAGAAAGAGAGAGAGAGAGAGACAGACAGACAGACAGAGACAGAGAGATGGAAATGTGGCTTAAGCCATAGAGCAGGTGCCTAGCAAGCTCGAGCCCTAAGTTCAAATCCCAGCACTACGGAAACAGCAAACACATTCCACCTCCCCCCACAAGACTTTCAAGTGAGCTGTAGCAAAGATCCCAGAGTGGGGTGCTCACTCAGGATGAAAGAAGGGGAGAGGGCTTTGCTCATGGTCCCCCCCCACCTCTACCTGCACAGAGCGAGAGGCGCCCGGGCTCAGAGAGGAGACTTCTAGGCCTGCGGGGGGAACCCCCAGAGCTGGACCTAAGCTACTCCCACTCGGAGCTGGGAAAACGACCCACGAAAGACAGCTACACCCTGACAGAGGAGCTGGCTGAGTACGCCGAGATCCGCGTCAAGTGACGAGGCCAGAGGCCGCCCTCGGCCTCCCTCACCGGCCTCCTTTGCTCCTGAGTGTGAGTGTGTGTGTGTGTGTGTGTGTGTGTGTGCGTGCGCATGCGTGCTTGCGTGGGGGAGAGATGGCGCAGGAAGGGCCTGAGGCAGGGGACAGCAAAGTCCTGGGGGCCCAGCCCCCCCTGCTCCTTCCCTGCCGCCCCCCCAGCACCCCTATCCCCACCACAGCACCCCTCAATCCTCCTCTAACCTTGTCTGTCTGAGGGGAGCTCTGTCCATCTGTGTTATTTATTGCTATCCCCGCCTGGTTTTCTGCCCCTCCCCACCTCCGCCCGGCCCCAGGACCTCTATACAAAGGACATGAAATAAATAAATAGCCTCCATGCCTGTCTAGATGCTGGTGGTATGTGTGTGTGTGTGTGTGTGTGTGTGTGTACACACGTGCACAAGTGCGCATGTGTATGTGTCAATACTGGGGCTTGAACTCATCGCCGCAGCCTCTTGCTCGGCTTTTTCTGCTTCAAGGTTGGTGCTCTACCACTTGAACCATGCCTCCACTTCTGACTTTTGGCTGACTTATAGGAGAAATGAAATCTCACAAGCTTTGCTGCCTGTGCTGGCTTTGAACCAAGATCTTCAGATCTCAGCCTCCTGAGTAATGAGGATGATGTGTGAGCCACAGACGCCCAGCAACTCTATATATACATAGCTATATGTATATATATATATATTTTTTTTTCTTTTTCAACTTGCTATTTTGAAATAATTATGCACACAGGAAGTCCCAAAGATAGAACAGAGCTCATGTGCTTGGCACCCGACACAGTTGTTTTACATAATTATAGCACAGAATCAAACCCAGGAACCTGACGCTGGTGTGGGTGCAGGGCTGTGCTATTTTATCACGAGTCCGTATATACAGCAGCAAGCCACATAAAGCATCGGGTAATCCTGTGAACCGGACATCCGGGTCATGCCCCTGTCCCACCCCTACTCCGGCCATTATCCCCCCTCCACCTGCCCCTGCGACCTCCCATCGCAAGCATTCACTCTGCCTGGGACCCTTTAACATCGGCTTTTGTGTAGATGTGCCAGGTACTGGAGTTCACACCTGTCATCCCAGCTACTCAGGAGGCTGAGATCTGAGGATCAAGGTTCAAAGCCAGGCCGGGCAGGGAAATCTCCAATGAACCAGCAAAAAGCCAGAAGTGGATGAGCTGTGGCTTAAATGGTAGAGCACCAGCCTTGAGTAAAAAAGCTCAGGGACAGCACCTGAACTCTAGTTTAAGTCCCAGTACTGGCACCCCCCCAAAAAAAAATGTGCAGAGATCGTGACAGGTGCATAATGTGGCTACCGCATTCTGCTCACTTTCTAAAGAAACAGACAAAATGTGGTCCTGACTTGTACCAATGTACATTTACACAGCAGGGACTATCATTACAACTATGATCTACTTATATTTCACCTTTCCAGAACTTTCTGAAGTGTTTTTTTTTTGATGTTGTTTTGTTTTGTTTTTTGATGCTAGTCCTAGGGTCTGAATTCTGGGCCTGGGCTCTGTGGCTGAGCTCTTTTGCTCAAGACTAGCGCTCTACCACTTTGAACCACAGTGCCACTTCTGGTTTTCTGGTGGTTCATTGGAGGTAAGAGCCTCACAGACTTTCCTGCCCACCAGGTTGGCTTCGAATCACGATGATCAGATCTCAGCTTCCTGAGCAGCTGGGGTGGCGGGTGTGAACCACAGGTGCCTGGCCTGAAGTTTCTCCCTCCTGACTCTGCCCCAGTCTCCAGCCTGAGAGATTTCTTATAGGCTCCACCCACCACCCACAGGATTTGCATAGCTGGATGCTGATTGGTTTTGTTGTTTGCCAACCAGCAAGAAAACAAAGGATGCCTCAATTAATAAGCCAAATTATAGGAGTCTTTAGTGTTGCCTCTCCAGGCCGGTGGCTGCACCCGAGTATCCAATTGTGCCGCATGGAGACAGCTCAGAGTTAGTCTTTTAAAGACAAAAACCGCATCCTTTTTGGCAAGCAATGTATAGGGCATTTTGGTTTTGCAAAGCATAGACAGAAGGAAATCTGAGTGTTACTGGTAAATGTAGCCTTACTTCCTAAACTACTGGCTGGCTAGAACATTTTGAGGTAGTTTTTGCAAAATCTGCTCAGCAAACAACTTTGTGCAGACTCTGCAGAGCAGTCTACAGTTTGGGGTGAGGGGCCTTAACCCTTGGGGGACAAAATGGCATTACTTCAGTCAGGCTTCAGGCTTAAGGACATAACCTACTTCAGTTTGGTTTTGCTTTGTTTATTTAAGGCTGCTACTGGGGTTTGAACTCAGGGCCTGGGTGCTGTCCCTGAGCTCTTTTGCTCAAGGCTAGCACTCTAACCCCTTGAGCCATAGCCCAACTTCTGGCTTTTTGGTATTTCATTGGGGGACAGGAGTCTCATAGGAGCCAGGAACCAGTGGCTCATGCCTGTGAGGAGGCTGAGATCTGAGGATCATGGGTCAAAGCCAGCCTGGACAGGAAAGTCCCTGTGAGACTCTGATTGCCAATGAACCACCAGAAAACTGGAAGTGGTGCTGTGGCTCACAGTGGTAGAGCACTAGCCTTGAGCTGAAGAGCTGAGGGACAGTGCCCAGGCCCAGAGTTCAGGCCCCACGACCAACCAAAACAAACAAACAAACAAAACCATGATGCTCAGATCTCAGCCTCCCAAGTAACTGGGATTACAGGCGTGAGCACGTTGCCTAGCCTGCTCACTCAGTCTTGCCTCTGAGACCCACAGTGACCTGGTAAAAGTGCTGGGCTTTCAACCTCAAGACTTTCACACGCTTCAGTGCTTCACTCAGACAAACTGCCTTCTCCCCCCTGAGCCCCAGTGCTCCTCAGTCAGTGTCAGGGCCAGGCCCCCATTCTGGCTGTGAAGGGTGGTGTCAGCCAGTCCTTTGAGGGGACAATTTTCTCTTCCAGCTGTTTGGCTGTCCGGGCTTGAGTCTTTAGCATTTCTTGAAAGCTGGGAAAGTCCGTGAGACCCTTATCTCCAATGAACCACCAGAAAACCACAAGTGGAGCTGTGGTTCAAGCGGTAGAGCACCAGCCTTGAGCAATAGACCTCAGGGACAGTGCCTGGGCCCTGAGTTCAAGCCTCAGGACCATCAAGGAAAAAAAAAAAAGAAATGCTTCCCCCAATTCAGACCCAGCAGATGATGGTCAAGTGCACCTTCACCCCCCACACACCCAGGTCACCACGGGGTGTGTGTCCCCTGGGAACCCCAGAGAGGAAGGGGCGTGGCCAAGAGGGTCCACAAGGCTCTGCGCTTCCCCTTTCACCCTTAGAACCTGCTGGAGCGGCCGAGTCACAGGCACGGGGGGCAAGTACGGGATGCTCGAGTTTTGTTTCTGTGAGTGAGTGTGTGTGAGTGCGTGTGTGAGTGTGTGTGTGAGTGTGTGTGTGCATGTGTGAGTGTGTGGGTGAGTGTGTATGTGTGTGAGAGTGAGTGTGTGTGTGTGAGTGTGTGTATGTGTGAGTGTGTGAGTGTGTGTGAGTGTGTGTGCGTGTGTGGGGGTGAGTGTGTGTGTGAGTGTATGTGAGTGTGTGGGTGAGTGTGTGTGAGAGTTTGTGTGTGTGTGTTTGCTTTTGTTCTTTGCTTTCTTTATGCAATCAACAAGCAAGTATGGGGTGGTCAGGATTGGGGGGGTCCCACTCTCTCCCTCTGGTGTGAGGTACAATAGTTTGGAATGCAGATTTCTCCCTCTCTCTATATCTAATATTATATATATGTATACACTTTCTCTTTTGGTGCCAGTCTTGGGGCTTGGACTCAGGGCCTGGGTGCTGTCTCTGAGCTTTGGTTCTCAAGGCTAATGCTCTATCATTTGAGCCACAGCTCTGCTTCTAGCTGTTTCTTTTTTTTTTTTGGTCCGGTCGTGGGGGGGCCTGAGCGCAGTCCCTCAGCTCTTCAGCTCAAGGCTAGCGCTCTACCACTTGAGCCACAGCGCCACTTCCGGCTTTTTTCTCTTTGCTTATGTGGTGCTGAGGAATCAAACCCAGGGCCTCAGGCATGCAAGGCAAGCACTCTACCACTGAGCCACCTTCCCAGCCCCATGCTTCTAGCTTTTTTTTGCTAGCTCATTAGAGATGAGTCTCATGGATTTTCCTGCCTGGGCTGGCTTCGACTCAGGATCCTCCAGATGTCAGCCTCCTCAGTGTCTAGGATGACAGGCAGGAGACACTGGTGTCTGGCTTTGTTTCACTTTTGAACTCAAGTGATGGGCAGCTTGAAGACTATTTTGTGGCTAAAACATGGTAATGTGGTGGTCCTTCAGTCCTTCAGGCCCTCTGCCCCCCTGCCAGGCCAGCTGGGTACCTGAGGACAGACTCCTCCTCCCCCACCCCTCACCCCCCCGCCCGCTGGTCACCAGCAGCCCTAAGCATGTGTGGGACCTGCTGACACCGGAGACACACTCCACTCGGAAGGCACATCCTGCCCGCTCCCCCGGGGACCCTCCAGTGCCCCAACTGCCACAGAGAGTTCAGTTTCACTCTGTAAATTTAGCCTTATGTAAAAGGGTGGTTCACACCTATCATCCTAGCCACTCAGGAAGCTGAGATCTGGAGGATCACAGTTCAAAGCCAGCCTGGGCAGGAAAGTCTGTGAGACCCTTATCTCCAATGAACCAGCAAAAAAGCTGAAAGTAGAGCCGTGGTTCAAGTGGTAGAGCATTAACTAGCCTCTAGCAAAAGGGTCGGGGACAGTGCTCAGGCCTGAATTCAAGCCCTAGGACCAGCACACGCATGCATGCGTGCACGCATGCACACACACATGTACACACATGCGTGTGTACACACACTAAGTGTAGAACAGTAGAAGAGAACTAACATAGATCAAGAGCAAGAGACACCAGGGTATGTTTGCAAAATTGGGAGTCCTTCCCCCCCCCCCCCCAGCCACCAGCTCACAGCTATATTCTATTAACTGGCAGTGTGTAGCTGGCTTTGAGTGTGTAGGTGTGTGCCTGTGTGTCTGTGTATCTGTATGTCTGTGTGTGTGACTACTAGGGCTTGAACTCAGGACCTCATGCTCTCTCTGCTTTTTTTTTTTTTTTTGCCAGTCCTAGTGTTTGAACTCAGGACCTAGGTGCTGTCCTGCACTCTTTATTTTTTGTTGTTCAAGGCTAGCACTGGACCACTTTCAGCCACAGCTCCACTTTCTGCTTTCTAGTGCTTCATTGGAGACAAGAGTCTCACAGCCTATCTTGCCCAGGATGGCTTCAAATGGAGATCGTCCAGATCTCAGCCTCCTGAGTAGCTGGGATGACAGAGATGAGCCACCAAGTCTAGTCTTGGCTTGGTTTGAAGATGGAATCTTGCTTTTTTAAAATTCCAGACAGGCCTCAAAGGCAATCTCCTCCCCCCCCCCTCCAGGCCCCCATCCAGACAGGACGCCATGCCCCTCCTTCTCCTTTGGCTCCTCCTCCTTCTGGGTAAGGACTGAGGGCTGGGCAGGAGCCTGGCTCTGAGGGGGTGGGGGTGGGGAAAGGATCCGTGTTTGTTTGTTTGTTTGTTTGTGCCTGGCCTCTCTGTGGTCTCCATGGCTCCTCCTGGCTTTCTGATCACCGTTTCAGAGCACCTGCCTTGGTCTGATTCAAATACTTGGGACCAGCCCTGGACAGTTGAGGTCCCCAAAACCCTCTACTCCTGGGAAGGCGTGTGCCTGTGGATTCCATGCCGGTTCTCCATCCCCAAGTTCAGGTCGACCCTGGATAATCTGATCCTGTTGCATGATTACGAGTTCGATGATGTCACCAAGGAGTTTAATGGGACCGTCCTCTACAAAAACGCGAAGCCTGGGATGTTCCCCCCTGAGCAGGGGAGGACCCACTTCCTGGGAGACAAAGATAAGAACTGCACCCTGAGTCTCGACTCCGTGTCAATACAGGACAGCGGCCGGCTGGGGCTGAGGCTGACGTCAGGGCCCAAGTTAAAATGGATGGAGAAATTTTCTCTCAATGTCTCCAGTAAGTCTCTCAGGAGGACTGGGAGGAGCAGCTGAGAGAGGCCCCAGACACCAGGGCTTAGGGCAGCACAAGATCAGGCTGTGCCTCTCAGGGGCACTGGTGGCTCACACCTACCGTTCTAGCTACTCAGCAGGCTGTGATCTGGAGGACCGTGGTTCCATGCCAGCCCCAGGTAGGAAAGTCTATGAGACTGTTATCTCCCCTGGCCCACCGAAACAGATGGAAATGGCGCCGTGGCCCAAGTGGTAGAGCGTCAGCTGTGAGCAAAAGAGTTCAGGGACAGCGGCCCAGGCCCTGAAGAGATTTGGCTCTAGTCTTGAGTGAAAAAGCCAAGAGTGAGTGTGAGGCCCTGAGTTCAAGTCCCAATATTGTCACATAGACACACACAGACACCCCCCCACACACACACACGCAAGAAGAAGAAAAATACTCAGGGGATAGGAGGGAGAATTTTGAAACTACCCAGAACAGAAGCACCAGGACCAAGTTAAGTATCAAACACCACTCCCTAAAATTACTCCGGTGACGCTCTTGGCTGGGCAGGCAAGTGGATTGGGCTGGAAGGGGGACCCTCTGAAGCGATGGCGGCGGGGGGCAGAATCTGTGTGGATGATTCCTCTGCTCCACCATTTCCAGCCCCACCCTGCTGGGTCTCGAACTCAGGGCCTAGGCGCCGTCCCTGAGCTTGTTTGCTCCAGGCTAGTGCTCTACCACTTCAAGCCACAGCCCCACTTCTGGTTTCCTGGTGGTTCACTAGAGATAAGAGTCCCTTGGACTTTTCTGCCCAGGCTGGCTTTGAACCCCGATCCTACCGATCCCAGCCTCCTGAGTAGCCAGGATGGCAGGCAATGAGCCTGGCCCCACCCTTCTGTCTTGTAGAGACGCCTCTCCCACCTCGGATCCAGCTCCCCACGGAAATCAGGGAGTCACAGCCCCTCACTGCAACCTGTCTGCTGGAGTTTGCTTGCCCCGGGTACCCCGTCCAGCTGTGGTGGTCGCAGGAGGGCTCTGCTCACACCTCTGTCTCCCTCTCCGTCCAGTCCATCTATACCCGCAGCGATCTCACCTTCCAGGCCCAGTGGACTGACCACGGGAAGACGCTGACCTGCCAGGTCAGGAATTTCTCCACCATCCTCTCTAAGGACTCTGTGAAGCTGTGCGTGAAACGTGAGTCCTGTTCCCCCTCCCCCCTCCCTGTCACCTCCCTCCCCACAGCCCGGCCAGTCATGGTGACACACACCTGTAATCCCAGCCCTTCAGGGAGGCTGAGGCAGGAGGATCGCCAAGTTTGAGGCCAGGCTGAGGCTGTAATAGAGAGACTCTATCTCATAAAACCAAAGGCTGGAGAGGTAGTAGATCAGTCTTGGTGTTTAAGGAACACACACAAGACCCTGGGTTCAATTCCCAGCACCACAGAAGTTAAAAATAAATATCTAAATAATATATAAATAAAAGAATGAACCAGGGGCTGGGAAGGTGGCTCCGTGGTAGAGCACTTGCCTTGCATGCATGAGGCCCTGGGGTCGATTCCTCAGCACCACATAAGCAAAAAGAAAAAAGCTGGAAGTGGTGCTGTGGCTCAAGTGGTAGAGCACTAACCTTGAGCTGAAGAGCTGAGGGACAGCGCCCAGGCCCAGAGTTCAGGCCCCACAACTGACCAAAAAAAAAAAAAAAAGAGGAGGATGGTGGTTTTAAGCCAGCCCAGGCAGGAAAGTCCATGAGACTCTTATCTCCAATGAACTACAGGGGAAAAAACCCCCAGACATGGAGCTGTGGCTCAAGTGGTAGCGCACCAGCTTAGAGTGAAAAGCTCTGGGACAGTGCCCAGGCCCTGAGTGTGCGATCCTGGAGGACTGGCCTCAGGCAGGGGGCAGGGAGGGGGACCCTGGCGGAAGACAGCTTGTCTCCTCCCCTCCTTACTCTCCATCTGTCCTGCAGACACCCCGAAATTGAACATCAGTATCAGCCCCCATGAAGCCACCGTCAAGGAGGGGGAGTTGGTGACCATGACGTGCCAGGTGGCCAGCAGCTACCCCGAGTACACGGCCTTGTCATGGCTGAAGGACGGGGTCCCCCTAGAGGGACAGGGCGCCCTCACGCTGGTCCTGGACTCCGTCACCAGGGCCATGGGCGGGAAGTACCAGTGTCAGGCAACCAATGACGTGGGTCTGGGGCTGTCGGAGGAGCTGACCCTGCGCGTGCTGTGTGAGTGGGGGGGGGGGGGAGGAGGAGGGAGGAGGGCAGGAGGGGGGCAGAGCCCCCTCCCAAGAAGTGACAGATCCTCACCTCTCCAACTTGTCTCTGGCCCTCCCCTTTCTTCCAGATGCTCCAGAACCTTCCACGGTGCACATCCACCCATCACCAGCTCAGGAGAGCACGTCGGTGGAGCTGGTGTGCGCGGCCTCTGCCAATCCCCCGGCGAGGAATTTCAGCTGGTTCCACAACGGGGCAGCCCTGGCGGGGGAGACCGGGGAGAAGGTCCACTTCCCCAGCGTCCTCCCCCGCCACGCCGGGGCCTACGCCTGCCTGGCGTACAACAGCCTGGGGTCAGGAGGGATGGGCTCCCCGGCCGAGCTGGACGTGCAATGTGAGGCTCCAGGATGGCCGGAGCCGGGGGGCGGGGGGCGGAGATGGGGGTCACAGGGCCCCCAGAGTGTGCATGAGGAGGAAAATATAGCCAGTCCCCTCCCAACAAATTGTGTGCGTTCATGGGTGCATGGTGTCAGTCCTGGGGCTCGAACTCAGGGCCTAGGTACTGTTGCTGAGCTTTTGGGCTCTATCATTTGAGCCACAGTGCCACTTGTGGCTTTTTGCTGGTTCATTGGTGATAAGAGAAGCTGGGTGCCGGTGGCTCACACCTGTCATCCTAGCTACTCAGGAGGCTGAGATCTGAGGATTGAGGTTCAAAGCCAGCTCAGGCAGGAAACTCCGTGAGACTCATCTCCAATAAACCACTAGAAAACCAGAAGTGGCGATGTAGCTCAAGTGGTAGATAGAGCGCACACCTTGAGCTGAAGAGCACAGGGACAGTGCCCAAGCCCAGAGTTCAAGCCCCAGGATCGACATTAAAAAAAAAAAAAGTGGCACACAGATTTTCCTGCCCAGGCTGGCTTTGAGCCGAGATCCTCAGATCTCAGCCTCCTGAGTAGCTGGGATGACAGGCGTGAGCCACCAGCGCCCAGCTATATATATGTTTGTTGGATGAATGAGTGAAATGAATAAATGAACGGCAAGATAGCATGACTCTCCGGAGATCTGCGGGGGTGTCACTGCCAGCTCTTCCTTAACTCAATCTTGGGGCAGACTTGAACTCAGGACACAGAGAAGCCCTACTTTTGATCCTCAGACCCTCAGCTTGACACCTCTAGCCCCCTCCCCAAAATAAACTCCAGTGGGCAAAGACTCCTCACCCTGCAGGTCTAGACAAGAACCCATTTGACAGATGGGTAAACTGAGGCCCACAGCCCGGCCTAAGACAGAAGCCCTGGGCGAGCTGGTGTTGTTGGGATACATTGGGGGAACTGGATAGAAATGTTGGGGTGGGAGTGGAGGGAGCGAAGGAGGCAAGAGAGGAGAATGGACCCCGGTACATGCCTGGCCTCTCCCTTCTGTTCCAGATGCTCCCAAGATGGTGGAAGCCGTGGTGGAGAACACCGCTGAGATCCGGGAAGGGGACCCCGTGACCCTGTCCTGCCACTACAACTCCAGCAACCCCCAAGTCTCCCACTTCGAGTGGCGCCCCCGTGGCCCCTGGGAAGAGCCCATCCCAGGGGTGCTGACCATTCCCAGGGTGGCCTGGGATGCCGGGCCCATGGCGTGTGCCGCGTGTAACCAGTGGTGCTCGTGGGCGGTGCCTGTCAACTTGGACGTCCAGTGTAAGCATGGGGGGAGGGTTGGACCCCAGTCTCGGGGTGTCATCTTCAAGAATACAGCTGAAACCAGATATGGTCACGGGGCATCCTAGCTACTCAGGAGGCTGAGATCTGAGGATCACAGTTCAAAGCCAGCCCGGGCAGGAAAGTCCCTGAAACTCTTATCTCCAATAAACCATTCAGAAAGCCGGAAGTGGCGCTGTGGCTCAAGTGGTAGAGTGCTCGCCTTGAGCTGAAGAGCTGAGGGACAGCGCCCAGGCCCAGAGTTCAAGCCCCACAACTGACACACCTACCAAAAGCCAGAGAGACACAGAGAGCAGAAGAGACTGAAAGAGATGAGAGAGAAAAAGAGAGAGGGAAAGAGACAGAGACAGAGAGAGGGGGAGAGAGAGAGAGAGAGAGCACTGGGGGCAGGCAGGTCACCCTGGTCCTGGGGTACAGGAGAGGAGCTGGTGGGAAGGTGAAGAGGCCCCTGTCCTGCTGTCCCCCTGTCCCCCTGTCCCCCTGTCCCGCTGTCCCCCTGTCCCCGCTGTCCCCCTGTCCCGCTGTCCCCCTGTCCCGCTGTCCCCCTGTCCCCCTGTCCCGCTGTCCCCCTGTCCCGCTGTCCCCCTGTCCCCCTGTCCCGCTGTCCCCCTGTCCCGCTGCCCCCCTGTTCTGCTGTCCCCCTGTCGCCATCTCCCTGTCTCCCCCGTGTCTGCAGACGCCCCGCGTGGCGTGGAGGTGCGGCAGAGTCCGCTGGGGGAGCTGCATGCGGGCCAGCGCGTGCTCTTGCGCTGCAGCGTGGACAGGGCCCAGCCTGAGGCCGTGCATGTGCTGTGGATGAGGAACGGCAGCCGCGTGGCCGAGGGGTCCCAGCTGGTCCTGGCCGCCATCACCCCCGAGGACGCGGGCGACTACAGCTGCGAGGCCAGCAATGCCGTGGGCCCCGCAGTGTCCAGGGCCCATGCCGTCCAGGTTCTGTGTGAGTGAGAGGGACATGGCCCAAGGGGGCAAGGGGGGTTCCTGACTCAGTTTCCCCCATTGATGCCCCCCGAAGGCTACATGTGGCCATCAGCTTGACTCAGTTTCCCCCTGCCGACCCCCTACCCCCAAGACTTTGTGTATCTGTTAGCATGACTCAGTTTCCCCCTGCAGACACTCCCCAGGGCTGCATGTTGCTAGCAGCCTGACTCAGTTTCCCCTTCCCCATGCTCCCCAAAGCTGCACATGTCTGTCAGCCTGACTCAGTTTCCCCCTGCAGATGCCCCCCCCAAGGCTGTGCGTCTCCGTCAGCCTCAGTTTCCCCCTGCAGACAACCAGTGAAGCATGACTCAGTTTCCCCTGCAGACACTCCCCAAGGCTGCATGTGGCTACCAGCCTGACTCAGTTTCCCCTTCCCCATGCTCCCCAAAGCTGCACATGTCTGTCAGCCTGACTCAGCAGACACTCCCCAAGGCTGCATGTGGCTACCAGCCTGACTCAGTTTCCCCTTACTCGTGCTCCCCGAAGCTGCACGTGTCTGTCAGCCTGACTCCGTTTCCCCCCTGCAGACGCTCCGCGAAGGCTGCGCGTGTCCATTAGCCCCGAGGCCGGCGTGGTGGAGGGCAGGAAGGTCTCCCTGACGTGTGAGAGCGACGCCAACCCCCCGGTGTGGCAGTACGCCTGGTTCCACGGCGACAGTCAGCAGCTCCAGTTCTCCGGCCCGACGCTCAGACTGGAGCCTGCCCAGGTCCAGCACTCGGGGCCTTACTGGTGCCAGGGTGCCAACAGGCTAGGCATCGGCCGCTCGCCCCCCCACACCCTCACCGTCTACTGTAAGCACCTCTCACTTCTTGGCTGCTCCTGGGGTGACCCTCCCCACTCCCCATATCATCATCATCATTATTATTTGTGGTCATGGGACTCAAACTCAGGGCCTGAGCTTTGTTGATGCTCAAGGCTGGCGCTTTACCATGTGGAGCCACAGCACCCCTTCTGGCTTTTTGCTGGTTCATTGGAGAAAAGAGTTGCAGGGATTTTCCTACCTGGGCTGGCTGGGGACAGTGATCTGAGATCTGTCTGATCTCAGCCTCTTGAATAGCTGGGATTACAGGCGTGAGCTACAGTACCTGGCTTCCCAGGATTTATTTCTCTACTAGATAGTCCGGAGACCATCGGGAGGCGAACAGCCGTCGGCATTGGGGGCTGCATAACCCTCCTCATCTTGGCCATTTGGGGGATAAAACTTCGGCACAAGTGAGGTCCTCCCGCCAGCCCTGATGCCCTCCTCCTCTCCCTGAGCGGCTCCTCCTCCTCCCGGGCATTGGCATTCCACCCCAAAGTCTGCGGGCTTCTGCTTCCCTTCCCTGACCTCATTCGGCCCTCACGAAAGCCTTTGTTTCTCAGATGGAAAAGGAGCCAGAGCCAGCAGGGGCTTCAGGAAGGTTCCAGCAATCAGAGCTTCTTTGTGAGGAATAAAAAGGTAGGTTTGGTGACGGTGTGTGTGTGTGGGGGGGGCAGGTGGAGAATGGTGGGACACACCTGTAATCCCAGCTGGTCAGGACGTTGAAATCTGAAAATTGTAGCTCAAAGCTTGGGCAGGAAAGACTATGAGACTCTTCTTTTTTTGGGGCGGGGAGGGTGATCATGGGGCTGGAACTCTGGGCCTGGGCGCCGTCCCTCAGCTCTTCAGCTCAAGGCTAGTGCTCTACCACTTGAGCCACAGCACCACTTCCGGTTTTCTGGTGATTTATTAGAGATAAAAGGCTCGTGGACTTTCCTTGCCTTGGCTGGCTTTGAGCCTCGATCCTCAGATCTCAGCCTCCTGAGTAGCTAGGATGACAGGCGTGAACCACAGGCTTCTAGTTTATGAGACTCTTATCTTCAATGAACCACCAAAAAGTTGGAAGTAGAGCTATGGCTAAAGTGGTAGAATGGCAGCCCTAAGTGAAAAAAAGCTCAGGAATGCACACACACCAATATATGTAATATATTAGATAATATATAAACACATAATATTATGTATTATATATATAATATCTTTTGGGGCCTACAGTGAGGACGCATGCCTGTAATCCCAGCTACTCAAGAGAAAGAGGCTGGAGGACCACAATTACCAAGCCTGGGTTGCATAGAAAACCCCGGCACACGCATGCATATGCACGCACACTCACACATGTGCACACACACGGGAGATCTTGGGGGGTCCAGAGGCTGCAGAAGGAAATGGGGGAGCAGCCGGCTGTAAGCTGTTCTGTCCTGCAGGTGCGGCACGCCCGCCGCTCCGAAGGCCCCCCATCCACGGGCTGTTTGAACCCCATGATGGATGACGAGGTCAGCTACGCCGTCCTGCGTTTTCCGGAGGCCGACACACCGAGGCAGGGGTGAGGACTGAGTCCCGGATGTGGGCCAGCGCCAGCGTCCCGTCTGCCCCTGTACCGTGCCCCCGGCATCCCTCCGGGGGGGCACCCAGCCCCGGAGTGAGCGAGGAGCCTGCGTGTTCAGTATCACACTGTGTGTCTATGTGTCGGTCCTGGGACTTGAACTCATGGCCTGGGAGCTGTCCTTTTTTTTTTTTGCTCAAGGCTGGTGTCCTACCATTTGAGCCATACCTCCACTTCCAACTTTTTTGGGGGGGCTGGTTTCTTGGAGATCAGAATCTCGCTGGTTTCGAACCTTCAACCTTGAGCCTCAGATCTCGGCCTCCTGAGTAGTTAAGATGACAGGCTGGCTCTGTGCTGCATTTTATCTGGCCTTTCTTTCCTGGGGTGCTGGGTGGCCAGCCCGGGGTGCCCCTCCATCTCCTCTCCCTCCGCAGGGACCTCGGCACCGCGGACGCCAAGGCCCCAGAATGTCTCCTGATGGGGGACGAGGCGGTCACATATTCTGTGCTTCAGAGGCCTCTGGTGGTGAGGGGGGGGCCGTGGGGGGAGGGGGTGGGGGATCATGGGAGGGGGACCCGGGGGGAGGGGTCTGGGGGTGGGGGGAACCGGGAAGGGGGAGGTCCTGGTACTGATCGAGTTGGGGGGGCCGGCAGCTCAGGTGGGAGGGGTTTGGTGAATTCTGGAAGGCCTGGGTCCCCCAGGGAGGCTCGGACCCCCACGGAGGGGGCCCCCCCAAGTCTGAGGGTCTGGGCCCCGTGGGAGGTGGGCCAGGGGTCCCTGCGGGGGATTTGGGGGGCAGCAGGTGGCGTTGTGGGGGGCCGTGGGGTGACTGGCAGGGGGGCTGTGACAGCCTGGCTGACCCTTGACCCCGGCCTGTGCCTTTGCCCAGGGCGACTACGAGAACGTGGGGAAGGCGGCGGGGGCGCCGGGGGCGCGTGCGGAGGAGCGCACCGGGGAGGACAGCGTGCACTACTCGGAGCTGGTGCTGTTCGGCGCTGGGGAGCGGCGGCCGCGGCCGGAGGAGGTGGACTACGTGACCATCGCCCAGAGCTGACTCCGCCGCGGCCACTGGCGGGCCGCCCAGGGGCTGCGCACGCACACATTCACGCACACGCATGCCCGTGTGTGTGTGCAGGCACGCACAGATACACGCACACATGTGCAGTATATGCACATTCACGCACACGCATGCCCGTGTGTATGTGTGCAGGCACGCACAGATACACGCACACACGTGCAGTAAATGCACACAGTCACACATGTGCATGCAGTGTGCACGCACACACATGTACCATACAACCCACATGTACACACTGTGCCCTTGCACAATACACACATACGCACACAAACGTGCACGCCTGTATACAATGCACACATGTACACAGACACACATACATGTTCACAAATTCATGCATACACATGCACAAATGAATGTGCAAGGTACATGTGCTAATCACACACCTACACACATTCACGTACACACGTGCACACACATACACATCCACTCACATGCCAACATGTGTCATGTGTGTGCCCGTGCACTCACACACACACGCACACACACACATACACAGTCCCTTCCTCAGTATTCTGCAAGCCCAAGTCCAGACCGTACAACTTCCTGTGTCCCCCCCAACCCCAGCCATCTGCCCCCCCTAGTGTCATGTCCTCCTCCTCCCCACCCCCCCCGCAGCCTCCTCCCCGTGCTGAGTAGTATATTGGAGATAAGAGTGTCACGGACTTTCCTACTGGGCTGGCCTTGAACCACGAGAGGCCCACGTGCTGCCCTGGGGCGGGGGGGGGGGGTTGGGGGGGGGGGGGGATGGGGGTGGGCGGCAGCGGGAGGAAGGGCAGCAGAAGAAGCCTAGCTGCTCAATAAACACAGGCACACAATTCCGGAGAGCCAGAGGTCTCTGTCCTGTCTGTGGGGTGGCATGGGGCGGGGGCATGGTGATTTCTGTGCTCAAGTCAGACAATAAGGTAGTCCTTTTGTTTGGGTTAGTCATCGGGCTTGAACTCAGGGCCTTGACACTGTCCCTACAAATTTTGCTCAAGGCTAGCGTTCTACTGCATTGAGCCACATTTCCATTTCTAGCTTTTTGCTGGATCATTGGAGGTTAACTCTCAGGAAGTTGGGTGCTGGTGGCTCATGCCTGTCATCCTAGCTACTCAGGAGGCTGAGATCTGAGGATCACAGTTCAAAGCCAGCCTGGGCAGGAAAGTCTGTGAGACTCCTATCTCTAATGAACCACCAGAAAACCAGAAGTGGTGCTGTGGCTCAAGTGGTAGAGTGATCTCCTTGATCTGAAGAGCTGAGGGACAGTGCCCAGACCTAGAGTTCAAGCCCAGGATCGACCAAAAAAAAAAAAAAAAGTCTCATGGACTTTTCTAATCAGGGTTGGCTTTGAACTGTGATCCTCAGCTCTCAGCCTCCTGAGCAGCTAGGATGACAGGCAGGAGCCCACTCCCTGGCTTGGGAGTTTTAATCATGATTTTTTCTGCTAAGCTAAACTGAGCTGCCTCCCCCCCCCCCCCCCCCTTGCCACTCTCCCCCTGCACACACAGACCTTGAACTTGCACAGATCCAGTTTTTTGTGCGATCTCTAGTCTGGGAGTCCTCTAAGGTTCACAGGGCGGGGTCCTCTTGCGGGAGCGCCGCTCAGAGCCAATCTGGCTTCCTGGCAACCCCAGCGGCGTGGTCTCCCCGCTGTCCTGGGCGGGGCTGGCGCTGCTTGGGACCCAGTAGCCATGGAGAGAGAATGTCAACAGTTTTTCTGAGGTGCAAAGAGCAGGTGTCCAGGAAACTCAGGGGCTGGGGACTCCCCACCACAGCAGATCTCGGGGGGTGGGGGGATGGGGGCAGGCGAATCCCCACAGCGAAAGACTCAGTCCTCACAGCCCTCGAGAGAGGACCAGCCCTGGTGACAGCCAGCACTGGGGCTCTGAAGGAGCACAAAGCAAGATGTAAATAGCAGTTGGGGTGCAGAGGATGGGGGTGGGGTGGGGGAGAGGGTCAAGGAAGGCTGCCATGGGGGTGAATTGCAAGCCAGTAAGAATTACTTTCTCCAGGTGCAGTGGGATATGCCTGTAATCCCAGCTACTCAGGAGGCAAAGATGGGGAAGATCGAGGGTTGAGGCCAGCCTTGAACTGTTTCCTGTCTCTTCTTTTCTTAGTCATGGGGCTTGAACTCTGGGCCTGGGCTCTTCAGCTCAAGGGGAGCCCTCGACCACTTGAGCCACAGCGCCACTTCCGGTTTTCTGGTGGTTCATTGGAGATAAGAGTCGTACAGAGTTTCCTGCCCGGGCTGGCTCTGAATCGTGATCCTCAGATCTCAGCCTCCTGAGTAGCTAGGATGACAGGTGTGAGCCACCAGCACTCTGGCAATTCTAATTAAAAAAAAAAAGAAATGAATAAAAAGGGAACACAAGCCAGGTATGGTGGCTGAAACCTGTAATCTTGACTAAGACTTGGAAGGCTGAAGTTGGGAGGATCACAGTTGAAGGCCAACTGAGGCTAAAACAAAACACCCCCCCAAACAACAACAACAACAAACTCAAGACCTCATCTCAACCAATAAAAATTGGAGCATGGTGATTCACACCTGTCATCTCAGTTAGGAGCCTCCGGAGGAAGATCACAGTCCAAACCAGCCAGGGTATAAACACAAAACCCTATTAGAAAAGTTGAAAAGAGAAAAAAAGCAAGCAAAAAAGAATTAGGGGCATGTGGCTTATGTGGTAGAGTGCCTAGATAACAAGTGCCAAGCCCTGAGTTCAAATCCTAGTGCCCACCCTACACACAAAGAAGTTAAACAACAACAACAAAAATCCTCAAAGCTAGGGGAGGGAGAGACAGAGGGAGAGAGAAGCAAAGCTTCCCACAGGAGCCCTGGAAAGGTTCTTCTGTTGTCATGTTGTGTGCAGCTCCGGAGGCTGAGATCTGAGGATCACAGTTCAGAGCCAGCCTGGGCAGGAAAGGCTGTGAGACTTTTATCTCCAATGAACCACCCCAAACCAGAAGTGGCGCTGTGGCTCAACTGGTAGAGTGCCAATCCTGAGCCAAAGCAGCTCAGAGACAGTGCCCAGGCCCTGAGTTCAAGCCCCAGGACTGACAAAAAAAAAAAGAACTGGGAGGAGGGAGAATCTAGTCTCCCCCGCCCCCCTTCCTCTCTGCCTCCCCTCCCCCTCCCCTCCTGCTGTCCCGCCCCCCTCCCTGCCTGAGATGCCCCATTAGCTGCTCACCCAAGCTGCTAGCCTGGCGGGGCTAATGGCCACTCCTGCACTTGCCTTCCTTCCTTCCGGCTCACTGCCTAACTCAGGAGTGCTCTCCAGCTGCTTGGAAAAGGGGGACCAGTGAACCCCACAGACATCTCGCGGTGTCAGGTGAGTCTCCACTGCTCTTCTCCCCTAAAACCCCCACCCCATCCCCCTAGGACCCCCGGATATACAGGGGTCTCCAGAATTGACACCCCCCAAGAGGCTTGTCCTTAGAGCTCTTCCTTGGGGTCCCCTTCGCCTGCCCCTCTGTCTGACACCCCTCTCCCCCCACGTCTCTTCTTTGCTTCTGGGCCTTGGTGCCTGTCATAGGGGGCCCCCATTCATGGGGGACACCGTCCCCCTTGCTGAGGTGGGGGAGAGAGGCAGTGAACACGTTGAGGGTGCTCTTTCTTATCTGCTCTGAGCTCTCTGCCCCTGCTCTTCGCTCAGAGTGTCAGGGATTAAGCGAGATCCCACCTCTACCCGTTCCAGGACTACACAGCCACCCTGATTTCGGGGGTTTCCCGCATGACCACCCCACGGAGCCTCGATCTTATAAGAAGCGATCTGTGGGACGACAGTCCAGAAGGAGGAGGTGGAGGAGGAGGACAGAGGGCTGGACGGCCCTGCTTCTGATCCAGGGCCCCACAGATCAGACCTCAAGAGATCCAGGCCAGCTTGAGAAAGGGGGTTTGGGGGACCCGAGCCCCCCGCCCCTCCCGCCGTCCCCATGGACCTGCCCCCACAGCTGTCCTTTGCCCTCTACGTGGCTGCCTTCGCGTTGGGGTTCCCGCTCAACGTGCTGGCCATCCGGGGTGCCATGACCCACACCCGCCGCCGCCTCACGCCTAGCCTGGTCTACGCCTTGCATCTGGGGTGCTCCGACCTCCTGCTGGCGCTCACGCTGCCCCTGAAGGCTGTGGAGGCCCTGGCCTCGGGGACCTGGCCTCTGCCCCCCAGCCTCTGCCCCGTGTTTGCCCTGGCCCACTTTGCACCCCTCTACGCGGGCGGGGGCTTTCTGGCCGCCCTGAGCGCCGGCCGCTACCTGGGGGCTGCCTTCCCTTTCGGGTACCAGGCCCTCCGGAGGCCCCGCTATTCTTGGGGTGTCTGCGTGTTTATCTGGGCGCTGGTCCTCTGCCACCTGGGCCTGGTCCTGGGCCTGGAGGCCCCGGGGGGCTGGTTAGACAACAGCACCCACTCCTTGGGCATGAGCATCCCCATCAATGGCTCCCCAGTTTGCCTGGAGGCCTGGGACCCAGCCTCGGCTGGGCCTGCCCGCCTCAGTTTCTCCATCCTGCTCTACTTCGTGCCCCTGGGGGTGACGGGGCTGAGCTACGCGGGCTGCCTGCGGGCCCTGGCGCTCTCGGGGCTCAGCCACCGGCGGAAGCTGCACGCGGCCTGGGTGGCGGGGGGCGCCCTGCTCACCCTGCTGCTCTGCCTGGGCCCCTACAACGCCTCCAACGTGGCTGACTTCCTGAACCCTAACCTGGGCGGACCCTGGAGGAAGCTGGGACTCATCACCGGGGCCTGGAGCGTGGTCCTCAACCCACTGGTGACTGGATATTTGGGTGCTGGCCCCAGACGGGGGACCGTGTGTGGGCCCAGAACCCAGGGAGGGGCCTCCCTGAAGTAGCTGCCCCAGCTGGGCCTACGGGTGGTCAGGAGGCAGGGGAAAGACGGGTGCTTGCCGGTCCTTCTGATTGTCTGCCCACAGGCTGGACTCATAGGAAGGAGGCTCTGGAGGTGAGATGGTGGGGGAGGGGATGGTGCCAGCCTGGTGATTCTCTTTAGAAATCACCCCAAGAAACTGTACCCCAAGAAAGAACCTTTGAGTCTGGAAAGAAGAGAGGAGGCAAGAAAAATGTAGAGGCCTCTGTCATACCACCTTGCCATCACAAGGTGGCAGCATGCAAACAGGAAGTTGCTGACAGTGGCTGACTATGATAAACAGCTAATTTGTGCTCCTTGTCTTTCTTATGCATGCATGTGTGTGTGTGTGTGTGTGTGTGTGTGTGCGTGTGTGCCAGTCCTGGAGCTTGAACTCATGGCCTGTGTGCTGGCCCAGAGCTTTTCTACCCAAGTTACTGCTCTATTACTGGAGCCACAGCTCCACTTCTGGTTTTTTGCTGGTTGGGTAAAAACCAGGCACGAGTGGCTCACACCTGTAATCCTAGCAACTCCGGAGGCTGAGATCGGAGGCTCATGGTTTGAAGCTACTCAGGGCAGAAAAGTCCCAGTGAGACTCTTGTCTCTAATTAACCACTCAACAATCAGAAGTGGTGCTGTGGCTCAAGTGGTAGAGCACTAGCTTTGAGCACAAAGAGGCTCAGGGACAGTGCCCAGACCCTGAGTTCAAGCTCCACAACTACACACACACACACACACACACACAAGAGTCTCATGGATTTCCTTGACCCCAGGGCTGGCTTTGAACCAGGATCCTCCTTATCTTTTCTTCCTGAGTTAGCTGGTATTACAGAAATAAACTATCAGCATGCTCAGCTTAATATGGTATCTTTATTACACCTTCCCTTCCCTTCCAAAAAAGAGGTTTTTATTTGTTTGTCTGTTATGGGGCTTGAACTCAGGGCCTGGGTTCTGTCCCTGAGCTCTTCAGCTCAAGGTGAGCACTCTACCACTTGAACCAAAGTGCTACTTCTGGTTTTCTGATGGTTCATTGGAGATAAGAGTCTCATGGACTTTTCTGCCTGGGCGGGTGATCCTCAGATCTCAGCCTCTTGAGTAGCTAAGGTTATAGAGGTGAACCACTAGCATCCGCCCTGCCCCCTCACCCCCTCCAAAAAAAAGTTTTTATTCCCTATTATACTTTTTTTTTTGTGGGGCCTGAACTCTGGGCCTGGGCGCTGTCCCTCAGCTCTTCAGCTCAAGGTTAGCGCTCTACCACTTGAGCCACAGCACCACTTCCGGCTTTTTTTTTTTGCTTATGTGGTGCTGAGGAATCGAACCCAGGGCCTCAGGCATGCAAGGCAAGCGCTCTACCACTGAGCCACCTTCCCAGCCCCTGTCCCTGTTATACTTTTTAACGACCTCCTGGAGACACAGTTTGTCTATGGTGACATTCACCCGACCTGAGCTCGAAAAGGTGCCAGCGATTCTGAGTACATTTACAGAGGCATAGGCCAGAAGATGATGTTGTTCTAGAACATTCCACCCTCCCAATACGATCCCTATTTTGCTCTTGTTCGGTTCATTTCCACACGAGGTTCCCAAGACAATCTCTTGTTCTTTAAAAAACATTTGCCTATTCTGAGTCTTTCATGGAAATGAAATTATATAGATTGTGTGGCCTTTTGTGTCCAGCTTGCTTTGTGAACTGCCTATTTTGTTTCCCCTTGGAAGGGGCTGGGTTGTAGCATGCATGGGTCTCTCTCTCTCTCTCTCTCTCCCTCTCCCTCCCTCCCTCCCCCCCCCCTTTCTGAGCTTGAACTCAGGACCTGGGTGCTGCTAGCTCTGAATTTTTTTTACCCTCAAGGCTGGCACTCTCCTACTTGAGCCACACCTCCACTTCCAGCTTTTGGTGGTTCATGGGAGATAAGAGTCTCATGGACTTTCCCGCCTGGGCTGGCTGGGAACCACGATCCTCCAGATCCTGAGTCGCTGGGATGACCGGCATGAACCACCGCACCCGGCTTGGCTGTGTCCATGATCATCTCTGCAACTGTCCCAGGATCCCCCAGGGCACTGGGCCCCCCACGACCTGGATCATCAGCGCTCTAGAAAGTGGAGAAGAGACCTGGGGGATGGGGAGGGCCAGCCGCTGGGGCGGCCCTGTGGTGGAATTTGCTCTCCTCTTTTGCATATGGACTGATTGATGGAGCCCATGACAGACATCTCCTGCCTCTACTCCTGGGCCGCCCCTTCGAGCTCCGTGTGGATAAATAGTGCAGCGCAGGTGGACAGGAGGAGCCCAGAGAAGGGGTACAGGGGGCCGCTCAGGGCTCAAGCTGGGAGCCCAGGAATCCAGGCGGGCCCTACTCAGAGAGGTGAGTTCAGAGGCTGCCGGTGTGATATTGCTCCTGGCGATTGGATAAAACGCTTCTTTATTTCTTTTATTATTTGTTTGTACCTGCTCTGGGGCTTGAACTCAGGCCTAGACGCCATCCCTGAGCTTTTTTATTTTTGCTCAAGGTTACCACTTTACCACTTGAACCACAGCGCCATTTCAGGCTTTTTCTGTGTATGAGGTACTGAGGAATCCAATTCAGGACTTCATGCATGCTAGGCAAGCAGTCTACCACTAAGCCACCTTCCCAGCCCAATTTTCCAGCTTTTTGTTGTTGTTGCTGTTGGTCATGGGGGCCTGAACTCTGGGCCTGGGCACTGTCCCTCAGCTCTTCAACTCAAGGCTAGCGCTCTACCTCTTGAGCCACAGCGCCACCTCCGGCTTTTTCTGTTTATGTGGTGCTGAGGAATCGAACCCAGGGCCTTATGCATGCAAGGCAAGCGCTCTACCACTGAGCCACCTTCCCAGCCCTTTTCCAGCTTTTTTGATTTTGCTGGTTCATGGGAAATAAAAGTTTCTGGGACTTTCCTTCCCTAGGCTGACTCAGAACTGCGATCCTCCAGATCTCAGCCTCCTGAGGACTTAGAATAACGGGCCTGAGCCACTGACAGTTATTATGAAATCCTGAGCCCTGGGCTAACCAGTCCCCCCTCCCCATTTTCCACCCAGATGACCACTTTCTCTCTCTCTCTCTCTCTCGGTGCAGCGCCTGGCATCATGGGGTCGCACATGGACAGGGCATATTTTGTGGGCCATCACTGGCTTTACTTCTCCGTGTACCTCGTGGCCTTCATGGTGGGCCTCCCGCTCAACCTGCTGGCGCTGGTGGTGTTCGTGGGCAAACTCCGCCGGCGCCCGGTGGCCGTGGACGTGCTGCTGCTCAACCTGACGCTGTCCGACCTGCTGCTGCTGCTCTTCCTGCCCTTCCGCATGGTGGAGGCGGCCAGCGGCCTGCGCTGGCCTCTGCCCTTCATCCTGTGCCCGCTGTCCGGCTTCCTCTTCTTCACCACCATCTACCTCACCTCGCTCTTCCTGGCGGCCGTGAGCGTTGAGCGCTTCCTCAGCGTGGCCTACCCGCTGTGGTATCGAACCCGGCCCCGCCTGGGCCAGGCCGTCATGGTCAGCGTGGGCTGCTGGCTGCTGTCCGGGGCCCACTGCAGCGTGATCTACGTGGCGGAATTCTCTGGAAACTCTTCCGAGAGCCAAGGAAGCAATGGGACGTGTTACCTGGAATTCCGAGATGACCAGCTGGCCGTGGTGCTGCCCGTGCGGCTCACCATGGCCGTGTTGCTTTTTGGGGTACCCCTGCTCATCACCAGCTATTGCTACGGGCGCCTGGTGTGGCTGCTGGGCCGGGGGGCCAGCCGGCGGCGGAGGACCCGGGTTTTGGGGCTCCTGATCGCCACGCTGCTCAACTTCATCGTGTGCTTCGGGCCCTACAATGTGTCCCACATAGTGGGGTTCGTGCAGGGGGTGAGCCCCACCTGGAGGGGCTACGTGCTGCTGCTCAGCACCCTCAACTCCTGCGTGGACCCCCTCGTCTACTACTTCTCCTCCTCCCGCTTCCAAGCCGACTTCCAGAACCTTCTGCGGAGGCTGCTAGGGGGCAGGAGCCCCCTGGCTGTGGATAGCAGCCTGGAGCTGAAAGGGAAGGGGGGAGGGGGGCAGAGAGAGGCCTGAGGGGGGGCTCTCCCACCCCCCCTCAGGCCTGGGAGATGGAAATGGGGTACCCAGGAGAGCGCTTCGCTGCAGATGGGCAGGCAGGACCCCACAGCGGCAGGTTGGGGTGACTCAAGACCCAGCTGACCCAGCTCTAAATTGTTTTTCTGTCTGCGGGGAAGGAGGGGCTACTGAGATTTGAACTTGGGGTGTTGCTCTGGTAAGCAGTTGCTCTACCACTTGAGTCATGTCCCACTCAGTCCCCCCTTTTTTTTGCTTTCGTTTATTGCCTGGGTACTGTCTCTGAGCCCTTTTTGTTCAAGGCGGGTGCTCCACCACTTGAGCCACTGCGCCACTTCCTTCTTTTTGCTGGTTCATTGGAGATAAGAGTCTCCCAGACTTTCCTGCCTGGGCTAACTTTGAACCCTGATCCTCAGATCTCAGCCTCCTGAGTAGCTAGGATGACAGGCGTGAGCCACCAGCGCCCAGCTGGATAAAGTCTCCATGGATTTTGGTTTGGCTTGGTTTGGGGCCTGGGCCCAGTCTTGGACTGTAATCCGCCTATTTATGCCTTCCTATTAGAAATGATTATGAATAGACCACCACAGCCAGCTTACTGACATGGGGTCTTGATAACTTTTTCTTTGGTTGTATTTTGGGTTTTGTTTGTACTTCTGGGATTGGCTAGAACTGCCATCCCCCCACACCCCCATTTCCATTCCCTCCTTGCCCCTCCCAAGCCCCGATGCAGAGCTGGGGTTACAGATGTACGCTACCCTGCTGAGCCTCAAACCCTGCCTTTCTCAGGGTGTCACCACCAAGCCAATTCTTGCCTCTCTCCTCCCCTGCCCCTTGCTCATCCTCCTTCAGGCACTGGATGGGGCAAGGGGCCCGTTAGAGGCCCAGCAGCAGGCCACGCCCTCTTTCTTGACTTCATACTAGTGGTGTGGGGGGGTGAGGGGCAGAAGGAGTGGAGGGAACTGTCCAGTGGTTTAGGACAGGAGAGGGGGGAAGGATGGGGCGGGGGGGAATGAGGCAGCAATCTTTCTCTCATGGACTTTTCTAGAAAGTTCTCACAGCTCGAGAAATTCAGATGTAGCAGGGACAATGATAAACAGTAAGAGAAGAAAAATGTGCCCTAATAAATCGGCTAACAAACAAAAGAGAGACGGTGTGCGGTCTTTGCCTCATTTCCTTTGCACATGGCCACTGGGCCTGGGGTGGAGGCGCAGCGGCCCCGGCTCAGCCGCAGGCCTGCCACCAGCAGAGGGCGCCACCTGCATTAAGCAACCGAACAAGGCCTGGGAAGGTGGCTCCATGGTAGAGCGCTTGCCTTGCATGCATGAGGCCCTGGGTTCGATTCCTCAGCACCACATAAGCAGAAAAAGCCGGAAGTGGCGCTGTGGTTCAAGTGGTAGGGACTTGCCTTGAGCTGAAGAGCTGAGGGACAGCGCCCAGGCCCAGAGTTCAAGCCCCACAACTGACAAGAAAAGAAAAGAAAAGAAACCAAACAAACCACACATACAATACTCCCGTTTAGTGGTGCTGAGATTTGAACTCAGAGCCTCATATATTCCAGAGGCAATGGCAATCCGGAGCTAGGTGATGGTGCCTAACCAGAAAGACCTTGATCAGCGGACCATCCTTTTCTTTTCTTTTCCTTTTGGTCAGTCACGGAGCCTGAACTCTGGGCCTGGGCGCTGTCCCTCAGCTCTTCAGCTCAAGGCGAGCGCTCTACCACTTGAGCCACAGCACCACTTCCAGCTTTTTCTGCTTATGTGGTGCTGAGGAATCAAACCCGGGTCCTCATGCATGCAAGGCAAGCACTGTACCACTGAGCCACCTTCCCAGGCTTTGCCTGGCCTTTTCTTTTGTCAGTCATGGGGCTTGAACTCAGGGCCCAGGCTCTGTCTCTGAGCTACTTTTGCTCAAAGCTGGTGTTCTACCACTTAAGCCACAGCTCTGATTCTGGTTTGTTTTTTTTTTTTTTGCTGATGAATTAGAAATAGTCACACAGACTTTTCTGCCTGGGCTGGCTTTGAACCATGATCCTCAGATCTCAGCTTCCTGAATCACCGGGACAGGTGTGAGCCACTGGCGCCAGCTTCATTCCTTGATTTTCTTACTTTATGTCCTTCCTGTTTCCCCACCCAGGGAACCTCAGGCCAGCCAAATAGATGGCCTTGATTTGCATATCAGGTACATTCATATTTATATGTAACTTTTTCACTAATGTTAAATGTTTGGGGGTACACGTGGCTCCTTTTATAAGAGCCTTCTGTAGGAGCCCCTTCGGGGCTACAGAGAGTCTGGGTCTTAGGGGTTGGGAATGTGGCTTAGTGGTAGAGTGCTTGCCTAGCATGCATGAAGCCCTGGGTTCAATTTCTCAGTACCACATACACAGAAAAAGCCAGAAGTGGTGCTGTGGCTCAAGTGAGCAAAAAGAAGCTCAGGGACAGTGCCCAGGCCCTGAGTTCAAGCCCCAGGACTGACAAAAAAAAAAAAAAAGAAGCAAGAAGAGAGAAGGCTGGGTGATAATAAGAGCATTATCAATGATAATGATAGGAGAGGATGCTAATTTAGCCACGCACCAGTGGGCCGAGGGTCCCTGAGAAATAAAGACCGGAGGGAAACGGTGCCACACTTGAATATGGTTCTGGTGCACAACAGAATGAGCCAGGCTGCCCTGGGGCGGAGGGAAAGAAAGAGACTGTGAAAGACCGGGTTTTAGTAAGAGTTGTGACATTCTGAATTCCGTGTCTTCTTTGCCACAAAGAGGAAGGCCGGCCACAAAGGAAAGAGGCTGGGCTCCATAGTTCTCATCTGCCATCCCAGACCCTTGGGAGGTAGAGATAGGAGGTTCAAGGCCTCCTGGTTTTTTCCAATTAAAAAAACAAAAAGCTGAGCACTGGTGGCTCACGCCTGTCATCCTAGTTACTCGGGAGGCTGAGATCTGAGGATCGAGGTTCAAAGACAGCCCAGGCAGGAAAGTCCATGAAATTCTAATCTCCGCTTAACCACCTGAAAACCGGAAGTGGCGCTGTGGCTCAAGTGGTAGAGCGCTCACCTTGAGCTGAAGAGCTGAGGGACAGCGCCCAGGCCCAGAGTTCAAGCCCCGCGACCAACAACAACCAAAAAAAAAAGTAGCTGGGCTCTGGTGGCTCACGCTTGTCCTCCTAGATACTCAGGAGGCTGAGATCTGGAGGATTGTGGTTCGATCCCAGGCCAGGTAGGAAAGTCCATGAGATCCTTATCTCAAACTACCTAGAAAAAAAACTGGAAGTGGTGCTGTGGTGGAGAGCTAACTGAGAGCAAAAGAAGCTCAGGGACAAGGAAAGAAAGAAAGAAAGAAAGAAAGAAAGAAAGAAAGAAAGAAAGAAAGAAAGAAAGAAAGAAAGAAAGAAAGAAAGGGAAGGAGAGGGGCAGGGAGGGAGGGAAGGAGGGAGGGAAAAAGAGAAAGAATGAAGAAAATAAAGGAAGGAAAAAGAAGGAAGGAAAAAGAAAAAGAAGGGGAGAGAGAGAGAGAGAAGAAGGAGGGGCACCAAGGGGAAACTGAGTCACTCCAGGACAATGAAGTCTAGTTATAGAGTCTAACTACAGACTGAGAAGCTAGTGGCCACCAGGAATCTAGGGGCCCCTGCCTGAGGCTGGCTATTTCCAGGAGTTCTGGAACATATCTCCGCACACACTCCCTCCCCCCCATCCCCCCCCATGAGAATAAAGCTTTTCATTATCTGTTATTTTTATTTTGTTTTTTATTTTCTTTGGCTTTCCTGTGTCCCGGGGCTGTTTTCCTAGAGAGACTGGCATTTGAGGGAGGCTGGGTTAGATCGAGGGGGGGACTTCCCCCCTTGCCCCGGCCAGGGCTGAGTCCCTGGGACACCGTGAGCCCTGGTTCCTCAGAGACGCAGGATGGTGGGGCAAACCCGGCTCCTTCTCCCGCCCCACAGCAAAGTCAATAATTGCTCTGGGCAGTGCTGGCAGGTGGCACCGCGGCCTGGGGTGGGCAGTGGACAGCGGTGTGTGCAGACGGTGTAGGAACAGGCTGGGGGCTGGCATTCACCGTGCAGCCTCGAACCCAGGACATCAAGGCATATGTGTGTGTGTGTGGCTAAGTGGGTGTATGTGGGGAGGGAGGGGTGTCTCCTGACTCTGTCCTTTATTCTATTCTTTCCTTCTTTCCTTTTTAGGTCCAAGACTGGAACTCGAACACAGTACCTGCTGCTGCTTTGGCTCACTGGCTGGTGCTCTCCGAACAGAACCACACCTCAAACATCTGCTTTTCTTCTTCTTTTAAAAAAAAAATCAGTTGTGGGGCTTGAACTTGGGGCCTGGACACTTGTCCCCAAGTTCCTTGGAGGCATAGCTCTACTTCTGGCATTTTGTTTTAAAAAAAAATCTATTTTGGTGATTCATTGGAGATCAGATGCTCACTGACTTTCCTGCCCGGGCTGGGCTTTGGAACTACGATCCTCTAGATCACAGCCTCCTGGAGAAGTGAGGATTCCCAGCCTCCAGCCTTCCCAGGACCCATGGCAGACCGGTACAGCACGTGGATCCTGGCGGCCTACGTGGCCATCTTCATCACCGGCCTCCCGGCTAACCTCGTGGCTCTGCGGGCCTTTTTGAGGAGACTCCAACAGCCACACCCAGCCCCGGTGCACATCTTGCTGCTCAGCCTCACGCTGGCCGACCTGCTGCTGCTGCTACTGCTGCCTTTCAAGATGGCAGAGGCGGCGTGGGGCTTTGCGTGGCCGCTGCCCAGGGCGCTGTGCGCGCCCACGGCCTTCGCCCAGTACAGCAGCATCTACTGCAGCACCGGGCTGCTGGCGGCCATCAGCGTGGAGCGCTATTTGGGGGTGGCCTTCCCGGTGAGGTACAAGCTGGCCCGGAGGCCGCTGCACGGCGTGCTGGCCGCCTTGCTGGCCTGCACGCTGGCCTGCGGCCATTGCACCATCGTCATCGTCATTGAGTACGTCAACGCCACGCAGCTGGCCACAGCTGGCCGCAGCTGCTACGGCGACTTCACGGCGGCCCAGCTGGCCGTGCTGCTGCCTGTGCGCCTGGAGCTGGGCCTCGTCCTCTTCCTGCTGCCGCTGGCCATCACCGCCTTCTGCTACTGGCGCCTGGTGCGGCTGGTGTGGGGCCAGGCCCACGCGGGACCGCGGCGGCGCAGGGCCGCCGGGCTGGCCGTGGTCAGCCTGCTCAGCTTCCTGCTCTGCTTCGGGCCCTACAATGTGTCCCACGCCGTGGGCTTCTACCTGCACACGAGCCCCCCGTGGCGCGTGGATGCCCTGATCTTCACGGCCCTCAATGCCAGCCTCGACCCGCTGCTGTTCTACTTCTCTTCTTCCACGGTGCGCAGAACTTTCTGGAAAGGGGTGAAGGAGTGCCATCGCCAGGGTGCCTCTCTGTGGGGCTGTAGAGCCAAGGAGATGGGGGAGGCCGCCAGTGAGAGCCCAGGCCCGGGCCACGCTGAGGCCACTTTGGGCTCAGAGTCTTCCCCAGGCTAGCCGCGTCTACCCGCTGAGGATTTGGAGGGTTGGGGGGGGGCCAACCCTAAAAGTTGGGAAAACTTGGAGTTGGGGGTGGGGAGGGATGGGGGTGGCTCTTAGAAATGTGATTTTGTTGTGGTTGTTGTTAGTGGTAGGGCTTGAACTCAGGGCCTAGATGCTGTCCCTGAGCCTCTTTTTGCTCAAGGCTAGCGCTCTGCTACTTGAGCCACAGCACCATTCCCAGTTTCTGTATGGTTTATTGGAGATAAGCGTGTCACAGACTTTCCTGCCCAGGCTGGCTTCAAATCACAATCCTCAGATCTCAGCCTCCTGAGGAGCTAGGATGACAGGTGCCCCAGCAAAGAGCAGTATCTTTTTTTTTTTGTGCTAGTCCAGGGGCTTGAACTCAGAACTCAGGGCCTGGGCACTGTCCCTGAGCTCTTTTGCTCAAGGCTGGCACTCTACCACTTGAGCCACAGTGCCACTTCTGGCTTTTTCTGTGTATGGGGTACTGAGGAACTGAACCCAGGGCTTCATGCATGCAAGGCAAGCACTCTACCACTGAGCCACCTTCCCAGCCCCCTTAGCTTTTTTTTGGTTTGTTTTTGCCAAGGCTGGTGCTCTACCACTTGAGCCACAGCGCCACTTCTGGCTTTTTCTGTGTATGTGGTGCTGAGGAACTGAACCCAGGGCTTCATGCATGCTAGACAAGCACTCTACCACTGAGCCACCTTCCCAGCTCAAAGAGCAGAATCTTAAAGCTTTGCAGCAAGCCCTGAGTCTGGTTTCACCCTGTCAGTGCTGGAAAGAAATGGATGGCCAGAGATGGAAGAGTACTACACGGTAATGAAAAAGACACAGGCGGGCTGGGAAGGTGGCTCAGTGGTAGAGCGCTTGCCTTGCATGCATGAGGCCCTGGGTTCAATTCCTCAGCACCACATAAGCAAAAAGAAAAAAAGCCGGAAGTGGCGCTGTGGCTCAGGTGGTAGAGCGCTAGCCTTGAGCTGAAGAGCTGAGGGATAGTGCCCAGGCCCAGAGTTCAAGCCCCATGATCGGACCCAAAAAAAAACAAAAACAGAAAAAGACACAGGCTTGGGGGAGTCCTAATCTGGGATGGGGCAGGGGAGGGTGATTCGGGGGCTCGGGCAGCTCATGGTTGGACTCTGGGTTGCTTGGCTGAGTTCTAGAAGCAGCTTTCTGAGGGTTTGTGCTGTGTCTTCTGTGTTCAGCTTGGAGCGGAGCAAGATATGGAGGGGTCGTCTTTATACCCCATCCTGGGCCAATGGCTTGGAACCAATCTTTCTAAGAGCAAAGCTTTCCCCTCCCTGGCCACCCCTCCCACCCCCCACCCCCGGCCCAATCTGGTCCAGAAGATGGAATAAATAAATAAATAAATAAATATGAACTCTGAAAGGTGGGACCCTGATCGCCGTGGTGTTGAGATCCAGACAGCGCAGCAGAGGAAGAGATGTGGACAGATGGTGTGCACAGGCGCAGATCCAGTGGCATCCCGACAGACCCGGGAGGCACACAGAAAGAGGGGGCAGTGGAGCCTGGCTCTGAGCTGTCTGTCTGTCTGCCTGGTCTGTTCCTGGGCCTAGAAACACTTTCTGTGCCGCTCAGGAACATTTCATCTGTTCTGCTGTCCTCCAGTGCAGAGTCTTTTGGCTGGCTCTGGGCTGGCCTCCCTCATTTCTCTGCCTTCACGAGCCCCGCCCCCTCTCGGGTGCTCCCCCACCCCAATCTTGCTTTGTCAATCATGGGGCTTGAACTCAGGACCTGGGTGTTGTCCCTGAGCTCTTTTGCTCAAGGCTAGCTAGTGCTCTACCACTTGAGCCACAATGCCACTTCTGGTTTTCTAGTGGTTTATGGGAGATAAGAGTCTCATGGGTACAATGGCTTCTGGGAGGCCATGAGGGACAACAGGAGCCTGTACCATCCAGGCGTCCACCACCTCCCATCCTGGCACATTGAAGAAACTCACGCCGGCTCAGAGCTGAGCCAAATCCCCGCCAACCCTGAGGTTCTCAGCCACAGGAAGTACAAAATAAAGCGCTCTGCCCCATGCCGCTGGCTCACACCTGTCATCCAGGCTACTCAGGAGACTGAGATCTGAAGACTGAGATTCAAAGCCAGCTCAGGCAGGAAAATCTTGGAGACTCTTATCTCCCATGAACCACTAGAAAACCAGAAGTGGAGCTGTGGCTCAAGTGGCAGAGTGCTAGCTTTGAGCAAAAGAGCTTAGGGACTGTGGCCAGGCCCTCAGTTCAAGCCTCAGGGCTGGTGTGCACACATGTGCACGCACACACACCCCCATTACATAAAAAAAAAGGGTTTTGCTCTTTGCAGAGGTATGAGAACATTGCCAGAAGTGTTCTGAGACTCACAGGGCAGAGCTTTAGTTCCTGCCAAGTGGGCCGCTCAGGCCAGTAATCCTAGCTACTCCACAGGGAGAGATCGGAAGGATCATGGTTCAAAGCCGGATAGGAGAGAGGAAGAAGAGTTGTGAAACTCCATCTCAACAAAGACGCTGAGTGTGGTGGTGGGTGCCTGCTGTGAGGGGGGATTATCCATCAGGAGATGGAGGCTGGGGCCAGCCTGGGGATATTTGAAACAGACAAAGTGGAACCAAGCTCCCGAGGTGGGGCCTGGCCAAAGGAAGTAGAGCACTTGTTTAGCAAGTGTGAGGCCTCAAGTTCAAACCCCAGCGTTGCCAACAAAAGAGAGAGCGAGGAGGGGGGAAGAGAAAGGAAGAGAGAACAAGAGGGAGAAAGAAAAGAACGAGAGACAGAAAGAGAAGATTCTGGTTGGAGGCGTGGTTCAGGTGGTAGAGTGCCAGCCATTGCGTGAAAGCAGGCATCAGGTGCTGAGTTTGGATCCTGCTCTCAGATCTAAAGAAGAAGACAGGAACCCAGTAGCCGGAGGGAAAATCGAGGCTTCTAACCCTGGCACATAGTAAACTTCATGGGGCTGGCTGAGTTCCTTCTGTGAACATCCGGGTACCTGCATAGTTCTGGGGTGTCCATCTCCCCCCTCCGCTGGCACTCCTGGGGCCCCTGAGCAAGAGGACAGATGGATAAACAGAAATAGGAAGGCATGGTTAATGAATAACGTGGAGGGTAGCCTAGAATTGGCAGCTACCAGGAAACGCAGGTGGCAGGAATTGGCGGATGCCCCTGCCCCCTGCCCCCCCAGAAAAAACTAACTGGCTTGGCTTTGTGGCAATTGCCATGTGAGGGAAGATGTTATTGGGTGGGCATGGAAGGTTCTAGAAAAGTATCCAGGACGGCAGCTTTCTCCTTCGGATCGCTCTCTCCCTGCCTCTGAGCTTCCTCAGCGCCTGGCTATGGTTCAAGATTTTTTTTTCTTCTCTTTTTGTTTGCCTAACCCCCCTTTTTTTCCTCACCCTCCACTTTTTATCCTTTGCCTGTAGTGAGCAGGAAGCGGGGACATTGTTCAGCTGTGAATGAGGCATGCCAGCCCGGATATTGGGTCAAAGATTCTTTGAACCTTCGGAAGACACCGTGCGGTAATCCAGTCAGCTACGTGTCTCCGGCTTCAAAGGCCGATCGGGGACTCCAGATGGCCCAGGGAGAAAGTCTTCGCAAGGAAAGGGGGGAGGCACCTGACCCCATGTTCTTGATGCTGCTCCGGGAAAGAACCCTAGGACACATCCAAGCAAAACCCAAGAAAGTTCATCAGTAAAAAGCACAGAAAGAGCGAGAAGCCGGGTGCTGTAGCTCACACCTGTAATCCTAGCTACTCAGGAGGCTGAGATCTGACAATTGCAGTTCAAAGCCAGCCTGGGCAGGAAAGTCCATGAGAGTCTTGTGTCCAACAAACCACCAAATTAAAATAAAAAAAAAAGAGCTAGAAGTGGAGCTATGGCTCAAGGGGTAGATCCATCTTGCGATTGGGCTTGTCTGTGACTCAGTTTCCCTAGGCAGCTCTGTACAACTGCAGGGCTAATGGCCCCACAGCTGTCACACATTGCACTCACCCCAGGCTGCAGAGACTTTCCCATCCCTGAGACCAAACAGCCATCCAGAGATCAAAGCTTCTGCAGGCCAGAAATGGAACCAGAACATTCATGCATCTTGTTCACTCCTGTCTGCCCCTCCATCAGTTTTCCTCTACATAAATGGCCCACAAAACCTTTTGCTACATGATGGGGCAGGTATAGAGGGTTCTGGGGGTGCTTTGTACCATTCCCCAGGGGTCCCAGCTGCCTGTATGGATTGTTCTGTGTGACCCACAAATGCTGTGCTATTAAAATGCTCTTAGACAGAGACAAAGTTCCCCATCCTTGCAAGAGAACTGTAAAGTGCTGTGGGAGGCATGGCTCAGTTGGTAGAGAGCCAGGGCAATGAGCAAAAGTGGCAGGTACCGAGTTCAAGTCCTGATCTCACCCTAACCAAAATTAAAATTAAAGCTGATCACAAGTGGGTGGCTCACACTGGTCATCTTAGCTACTCGGAGGCTGAGATCTGGAGGATCACATTTCAAAGCCAGCCTGGGCAGGAAACTCTGTAAGACTCTTTATCTCCAGAAAACTGGAAATGAAACTGTGGCTCAAAGTGGTAGAGCACTCATTTTGAGCAAAAGCTCCCAGGGACAGTGCTCAGGTCCTGAGTTCAAGTCCCAGGACTGGCAAAAAAAAATGCTGTCTGTTCCTCGCATGATGGTCTTGTCTAGCTATCCATAAACTCCTTGAAAGCAGGAACCGAGTTTACTGTCCCTTAGATGATCCACTTCCTCAATTAACCAGCAGGGCCGCTGTGAGCCAAGCCAGCTGCTCATCAAGGCCCAGATTCAGCCTAAACAAACAGAGCCCGGTGGTGCAGACACCCGGGGGGGGGGGGGGCCTTGCTGCCTTTGGGCTCACTGTAGGCCCAATGCGCCTCTGTGTCCCCATATGTTCAAGAAAAACACCAAGCACAAAACCAGAGATCAATTCAAGCAATGTGGCGCTGTAAGGGTAGTGATCAGACCAGTCAGAACCACGGCCACAAGGACATTAGCTCCTGTCTTAGCACCTTCACAGTAGCTGGATAGATGTGTGGATGAATGAATGAATGAATGGATGGATGGATGGATGGATGGATGGCTGGGTAGATGAATGGATAGGTGGTTGGGTAGATGGGTGGATGGTGGATAGTTGGGTGGATGGATGGATGAATGAGTAGGTGGTTGGCAGGTGGGTGGATGGATGAATGAATGCATGGATGGATGGATGGATGGATGAGTGGATGGGTGACTGTTAGGTGGGTGTTTAGATGAATGAATGAGTAGGTGGTTGTCAGATGGGTGGGTGGTGGATAGATGAATGAGGCTCCCTGAGGCCCTGCTTAACATTCTCTTTTATTCTCTCACTCCTTTGGTCACCAGATGTGGGCTTCCTTGGTTTCCCCACTTACATTCAGAAGCACAGGTTGCTTGAGATCCTCAGGTGAAGCATTTCAAGGGAGCGCCATGAAGTGACAGTTCTAGGACTTAATATAGCAAGATGAAGTGGAAGATACAAATTTTTTGTTTTTAAATCTAAGCCGGGCACCAGTGGCTCCCACCTGTCATCCTAGCTACTCAGGAGGCTGAGATCTGAGGATCACGGTTCCAAGCCAGCCCGGACAGGGAAGTCTATGAGTCAGGGAAGTCTATGAGTCTCTTATATCCAATGGACCCCCCCCTCCAAAAAAAAGCCACAAATAGAGTTGTGGTTCAAGTGGTAGAGCATCAGCTTTGAGCCAAAGAAGCTCAGGGACAATGCCCAGGCCCTGAGTTCAAGCCCCAGATTCAGTGTGCACACACGTACGCATGCGCGCACATCACACACACACACACACACACACACACACACACAACATTGCACGAAGGGTCTAGGGTTTGGGAAAGGCGGGTAGGGGAAGATAACGCAGGGGAAGCAAGCGTTTTGGGTGTCCCCGCTGCTGGTTAGGGAGAAGGGGCTGGGATGCCAGGGGACCCCCAACAGGTTGGTTTTTGCTCCCAAGGCTCCATCATGAGATGAATACATCATTTTGGTTTCTCCCACGGGAGGCTCCACCCATTCTCCCTCCTAGATAAAAGGCTCCAAATGCAATAGAACACAGGGGAAAGCAGCTGGAACGCTGGAGTTCACCTGCTTGTATGTGTGTGTGTGCCAGGCCTAGCACTTGAACTCAAGGCCTGGTTGCTATCCCTGAGCTTCTTTGAGCCACAGCTTCACTTCGGGCTTTTTGGGTTTTCATTGGAAATGAGAGTCTCACAGACTTTTCTGCCCAGGCTGGCTTTGAACTGCAATCCACCAGATCTCAGCCTCCTGAGTAGCTAGGATGACAGGCGTGAGCCGCTGGTACCTAGCTTCCATTATTTCTCTTGCTTTCTATCCTTCCAATTTTTTCTCTCTCTCTTTCTCTGTCTCTCTGTCTGTCTCTGTCTCTCTCTTGTCAGTCCTGGGGCTCAAACTCAGGGCCTGGGCACTGCCCCTGAGCTATTTTTGCTCAAGGCTAGTGCTCTACCACTTGAGCCACAGCAACACTTCCGGCTTTTTGGGTCTGTGGTACTGAGGAATGGAACCCAGGGCTTCATGCATGCTAGACAAGCACTCTACCACTAAGCCACATTCCCAGCCACTCTCCTCCAATTTTCTGCTCCACTCTTCTCTCCCAGCTCAAGATTTCCACCCACAGCCTCCCCTACCTCCAGAGCACAGGGGCTGAGGCCAGAAACAGGAGATTGTGTTTAGATGGAAAACATTTTATTGGATCGCAGAACCGGGGGAAGTCCTTGGAAGCCGGGAGATGGAGGCCAGCGTAGGGGGCGGCGGTGGGGCTGGAAGTCCTGGGGTCTCACTGTTCATCCGGGGTGGCACTCCTCAGGCCCTTCAGCTGGAAGAAGATGGGGAGCGTCAGGCTGGGGAGCCCCGTGAGGAAGCCAGCACAAGATGGGAGGCAATTGATTTTCTTTCTTTCTTTCTTTTGTTTTGTTTTACCTCATGTTTGGTGCTGGGCTTAGGGCTTGAACTCAGGGCCTGGGCACTGTCTCTGAGCTTTTTGTGCTCAAGGCTGGCACTCTACCACTTGAGCCACACTTCAGGCTTTTTAGTGGTTCATTGGTGAGAAGAGTCTCACGGACTTTTCTGCCCCTGCTGGCTTTGAACAGCATCCTCTAGATCTTGGCCTCCCGAATAGGAGGGATGACAGGTGTGAGCCACCGGTGCCCAGCAGCAAGCGATTTCTAAGTTTCCATTCTCCTCCAAACACATCTCCCTGACTCCCCCCCTCTCCTTCTCCCCTCCCCCTCCTCCCCCAGCTTTGCTCTGCTCCTGCTTCCTCTTTAGCCCTAAAAGGATCCCACTCTTACCTTAGGAAACGCCTCCCAGTTAAAAAAGGGAAATGCCCTTTTGACTGCCTGCAAGAAGACAAGACAAAAAGAGCCATGTGTGTTGGTGTGTGCGTGTGCGGGAGGAACAGGGATCAGTATACACTCTCAGAGAAACTCCCAGAAGCCATTGTGGCTCTGTTTATAGAACACCCCCAAGGTCTCACTGTGCTCCGGCCCTTGGCCTTCCCACCATCCTCCTTCATTCCAGAACACTCCAACTCTCAGCCTGGCACCCGTGGCTCTCGCCTGTCACCCCAGTGACTCAGGAGGAGGCTGAGATCTGGAGGATCATGGTTCGAAGCCAACAGGGTCAGGCAAGTCCCTGAGACTCTCATCTCCAATTAATCAACCAAGAGCCAGAAGTGGAGCTGTGGCTCAAGTGATCGAGCACTAGCCTTGAGCACAAAGGCTCAGGGCTAGCACCCGGGTCCTGAGATCAAGTCACACACAGACACACACACACACACACAGAACTGAGGGACAAGCCTAAAGACCCCCTGATCAAACTCTACGATGTGCCTCACCTCCATAATAGCATGCCAGTTCAGGAAGTCATCACTCTTCAGCAGCTGGGGAGGAAGAGGAGGGAGGAGCAGGTGAGTCCGGGTGGGGTGTGTGGGGGGGGTTGAAGTTAGCCCCAGCCCAAATAACGGAGCAGGCGAAGGGCCAGCGGCCTAGCAAGCTGATCACCGTTCTAGCGAGCAGGCCGTACTCACAGATTGCATCTTGTTGAGGTTCAGGAACTGGTTATTAAAAGCCTAGGCAGAAAAGCAGGGTGTTAATCAAGAGGCCAAGAGACCAGAGTTGGCGGAAGGGGAGAGGCCCAAGCTGGAGCGCAGGAGCCGCGCCTTACCTCCGATCTCGCCTCATAATTGGCCATAGTGGTTTCTTCCTGGGAAGGGAGAGAATACAAGAAGCCCATGAGGCCTGGAGCCCGTGGCTCATGCCTGTCATCCTAGCTACTCAGGAGGCTGAGATCTGAGGATCACGGTTCAAAGCCAGCCCGGGCAAAGTCCATGAGACTCTTATCTCCAATAAATCACTCAGAAAACTGGAAGTGGCGCTGTGGCTCAAGCGGTAGAGCTCTAGTCTTGAGCTGAAGAGCTGAGGGACAGCGCCCAGGCCCAGAGTTCAAGCCCCATGACTGACCAAAAAAAAAACAAAAAAAAAACCACATGAGCTGCGGTGGGGCTGAGGAGGCTGAGATCCAGAGGATCGCCATTCAGAGCCAGCTTGGGCAAAACAAACAGGAGAGATTTCTTTTTTCTTTTCAATGAGCCAGCATAAAGCCAGAGGTGGAGGCCTGGCTCAAGCTGGTAGGGTGCCAGCCTTGAGTGGAAGGGTCTGAGCCCCAGGACTAACACACCACACCTCCCCCAATCCCCCCCCCCATGCTGCCCTTGACTTCCTGCCAGGTGGGACACGTTCCAGAAACATCCATCCTTCACCACAGACAGTGAAGGATGCCAACTGGCTTTGTGACTCAGTTGCCCCAGCATGCTGGAGTCCCTACCCCTCCTTCCTCTACCACCCAGAGCTCCTCTTCACAGAACCCGACGGTGCAGCCCCAGGCCCAACAGCCACAATCCCATCATGCTTGGGGGTTTGGGTTTTCCTTTTGTTTTGTATCAGTCCTGGGGCTTGAACTCAGAGCCTGGGCGCTGTCCCTGAGCTTTTTTTTGGCTCAAGGCTGGTGCTCTACCACTTGGGTCACAGTGCCACTGGCAGCTTTTTGGTGGTTAAGCTGGAGATGAAAGTCTCACAGACTTTTCCTTCCCTGGCTTGGTCTGAACTACAGCCCTCCAGATCTCAGCCTCCTGAGTAGCTAGGATGCCAGGTGTTCTTCTTGATAGAGAAGGCAACGTGGAACCCCAATAACTTACCTGAGCCCCGGTCCCTTCTCAGGAGTCCGGAGGCCTTGCCTCCACCCCAGGCTTTCCCTTGGCTTTCCTGGCCACCTCCGGCTGCTCCCTTCTCTCTCCCAGAGCCCTGGCTTCTCACTACCTTCCCCCACCCCCCTCTCCGCCATAGCCAAACACCAGAGCCCCTTGTCCCTGGGTGGTAGAAGAGTAAGAAAAGCCAGGTGAGGAGACGCACTGGGCACTGGTGCTCACGCCTGTAATCCCAGCTACTCAGGAGGCTGAGATCTGGAGGATCACCATTTGAAGACAGACTCAGGATAAGAAAAAAATCTGTGAGACTCTTATTAATCTCCCATGAATCAGCCAAAAGACAACAACCACAACTGAAAAATGAAGTTGTGGCTCAAGTGGTAGAGTGCCAGCCTTGAGCAAAAAAAAACTCAGGGACACAGCACCCAAAGGCCCTCAGTTCAAGGCCCAGGGACCAGCATTAAAAAAAGAAAGAAGTGAGAGAGAAGGTCGATAATAAGAAGATGAGGGCTGAGCTCACCTTGGAAGTTTCTAGAGCGGCTCCCTGGACCGAGTGGAAGGCCAGGAGGGACAAGAGAACCAGAGCGAGGAGGACGGGGAGCTTCATGGTGTGCGTTTCGGGGTGCTCTCAGGCAGGGCCTGGCTCTTTATATTCCCCCAGGAGGTGGATGGGACAGAAGTGGGGTCCGCACCCCGTGAGTCACCCCCACCCTCGGGCGGGGAGGGGTGGCCTGCAGTGGTTCCCCAACTGCCGTGGATTTCACAATTCGCCAGCTGCCCCACCCGGGGTGCTGGCGGGTTGGGGCCTGCGTGCCCGGGGCACCCGTGGGCCTCGTAGGATGGGGGCAGGTTGGACCTGTCCCTCCGAGCCACCGCCACACCCAGCCACCGCTCCTTCGGCTTTGTGTCTTTTACCCTCTGTCACTCACACAGCTCTGTGTGTGTGTGTGTGTGTGTGTGTGTGTGTCTGTGTGTGTGTGTGTGTGTGGCGTGCGCAGGACTTGAATTTAGGGCCTGTCCTATGCTCTTTCAAGTCTAGCGTTCTACCACTTGAGCCTCAGTACCACTTCTGGTTTGCAGGTGGTTCATTGGAGGTAAAAGTCTCATGGACTTTCCTGGCCCAGGCTGGCTTAAAACTGCAATGCTGGGGCTGGGAAGGTGGCTCAGTGGTAGAGTGCTTGCCTTGCATGCATGAGGCCCTGGGTTTGATTCCTCAGCATCACATAAGCAGAATAAAACTGGAAGTGGTGCTCTGGCTCAGGTGGTAGAGCACTAGCCTTGAGCTGAAGAGCTCAGGGACAGCGCCCAGGCCTAGAGGTTGAGCCCCATGACGGACAACAACAATGAAAAAAAGAACTGTGATCCTCCAGATCTCAGCTTCCTGAGTAGCAGGCTTTCCCTTATTCCCAGCAGGCCCTTTTCTTGTTCACCCTGGCCAGCCTGCCTTGACTTCTCCACCTCTTCCTATTGGCCATTCCTGCCCCTCTTCCCCATTCTGTGTCCCCATGCTGCTTTCTCCCGGCCTGGCCCTCCCTTCCATCCTCTAGGCACCGCATAGGCCTCATGCAGACTACAGGAAGACCTCGCGGTGCTCAGCGGAGGCATGTTGGAATCCATGGTGAGCATTCATCTATCACACTTCTTTGCTGCCCTAACTTGGGCCTGGACCCGAGGATGTGATTAGAAACGATGCTCAGGGACTGGGAAGGTGGCTCAGTGGTACAGCGCTTGCCTTGCATGCATGAGGCCCTGGGTTCAATGTCTCAGTACCATATACACAGAAAAAGCCTGGAAGTGGTGTTGTGGCTCAAGTGGTAGAGCACTAGCCTTGAGCACAGAGAGGCCAGGGACAGCGCCCAGGCCCTGAGTTCAAGCCCCAGGGCTGTCACAAAGAGAGAGAAGGGGGGGGCTTGGAGAAACTGCAGCGAGGCTCTGAGAGATCCCTGTGGAGAGAGGCGGCCGCCATGCTGGCTGCCAGCGCCTGATCACCCTGCAGGCCCATTCCCCCCACCCCACCCTCAGCTTAGCCTCCAACCCTGCGCCGCGCAGCCTGGCACAGGTCCGCTCCACAATGCGGCTCTGCTGGCCCGGCTGGTTCCCGGCATAAGCCTGGGCTCGGTCAGGACAGAGGCTGGGGCCCCCAGGCAGAGCCAGCCCTTATCTGAGGGTGCGGTGTCTCCACCCCAGCCCACCGCAGCCCACTTGCCTGGCAGCCTGGAGTGGGAGGCCTACAGAGCCCACGTGGGCCATCTTTAGGACGATCCCCCCCCCAGAGATTGGGTCCCTTGGTCAGGTCCTCCAGGGCTGTCCCCCTGTCTTGTGTCTGTCCCCTTTTGTGTCATCTCAGATGACCCGATGACTAGAGATGTTAGCAGCCCAAGCCAAAGAGGGGGACTGCAGGGGGGCAGGCAAGAAGCGTGGACAGGACTGGTGGCACACGCCTGTAATCCAGGCTGCTCAGGAAGATGAGATCTTGAGGATCACAGTTCCAAGTCAGCCTGAGCAGGAAAGTTTACGAGACTCTTATCCGCCATGAACCAGCAAAAAGCTTGAAGTAGAGCTGTGGCTCAAGTGGCAGAGTGCTGGCGTTAAGCAAAACAAACAAACGAAACTCAGGGGCAAGACCCAGGTCCCAGTGCTGGCACTAACACAAACAAAACAACAAAGTAGAAAGTGGGCAGAGTTCCACATCCCCCTCCTTCTCCCCTCCCCCCCCCCCCCCCCCCCCCCCCCCCGGGAATAAATGGCTCTTTTTCTAATTAGCATCAGACCCCCACCCTGCACCAGCACAGGGAAGGAACAAAGAACAAGATGCCAACAACAGGGGTTATGCAAACCAGCATCATTAGCATATGCTAATGAGGGACCAGCCCTGGCACACAGCGTTGGAGCTCCAGCACCTGGTTTGGCTCAGAGCTAGATCTTAGGTAACACGGGCCGCCTGTGTCCCCCCACGGTGGCTAATTTCCTGAGAACTGGCTGCGTGCCCAGCTAAATATCCTCCTGCCCACGACCTCACGGAAATAGCAGAGATTCTGTACCAGAGAGACTGTAATTAACCTGGATGTGATAGGCAATCCAGCCCACGAAGTAGTCAATCACTTAAACCCAGGTCACAGTATCACCTTGATGGGCCCCGGGAGCCTGAGACTGGGTTGTATCTTCTTGAGGCATAAGGGTCCAGCCCAGAAGTGCTCCGCGTGTGCCAGGCTCTTGTTATGAGGGCCTAGTCAGTGCCTGCGCCACACACGTTGGCATCACATGTGGCCAACTGATTCAGGCACAGTGCCTCACGCCTGTAATCCCAGCTACTCAGGAAGCTGAGATCAGGGGCTATCGTGGTTCAAAGCCAGCCTTGGGTAGGAAAGTCTATGAGACTCTGATCTCCAAGTAAGCAGCAAAAAGCCAGAGGTGGTGCTGTGGCTCAAGTGGTAGAGCGCTCGCTTGAGCTGAAGAGCTGAGGGACAGCGTCCAGGCCCAGAGTTCAAGTTCCACATCCGACAAAAAAATTAAGAAGAAAACGTGAGCCTCACTCCTAAGCAACAGGAAGGGACCACATCAGCCCTCAGATTAGGCTAACACCTGCCGGCTCGCGGGGTGGGGGGGAGCCCCTGCAGCATCCCCAGTCTCCTGTGGCTCCCATGTCTGTTCACTGGCTGACATCGGAGGGGTGTTGGGTGCGCCACTTGGGGAGCAGAGCTAGGAAAAGCGCAGTTCCCATTCAGCCTGGGGCATCCAGTGAGGTGAGGTCCCATCTCAAAATGGATGCCAAATGGGTGTCACACACCTGTAATCCCAGCTACTCAGGAGCCTGGGATCTGAGGATTGTGGTTTGGAGCCAGCGCCCGGCAGGAAAGTCAATGAGATTTTTATCTTGAATTAATGAGCAAAAAGCCAAAAGTGGAGCTGTGGCTCAGTTGGTAGCGCATCATCTTTGAGCAAAAAAAGACTAAAGGATGGCCCCCAGGCCCTGAGTTCAAGCCCCAGTATTGGTGCAAAAGAGAGAGAAAGAAGGAAGGAAGGAAGGAAAGGAGGAGGGAGGGAGGGAGGAAGCAAGGGAGGGAGGAAGCAAGGGAGGGAGGAAGCAAGGGAGGGAGGAAGGGAAGGAGGGAAGGAAGGAGAAGGGAGGGAGGGAGAGTAGACAGAAACAGAGCAGGCCGCGGGCCTCCGTCTCTGAGTCTGCCTCTTCTGTCTCCCCAAGGATCCCAGTGCAGGCCTGCTTTCCCACAGGCCAGTTCTCACCACACCCCAGATAGGCTAGAACTTGAATGTGGATGGGAGATGGGGTGCAGCCCGGATTGCAACACACACACACACACACACACACACACACACACACACACACACAGACACCCAGGCTGGGAGCCAACATCAGGGTGTTAAATAGGGAGCTTGAAAAAAAAATGGAGCCTACGTTCCTCAGGTCCTTGGTGAACACGTGGGTGACCAGCCTGAAAGCCAAGGGTGCTGGAATTTGGGGTGTCAGGACAGGACGTGGGAGAATAACCCTAGGACTCCCTGTCCTATCCCTTTTCCTGACTCCCCAATGCCATTATGACACCCAGCAAAAAAAAAAAAAAAAGTAGCTGCCTGGCGCAGCCAGTGTGGTTCTTTCTTTGCAACCCACCCTGGGCGTCCTTCCTTGGCGGAGGCTTCCTCCAGGAAGACTTCCGGGATTGCTCACACTTCATTCCCACCCTTCCCCCTGCTTCTCCTGCCTGTCTGCTAATCCATGAAGATGTCTGGATTAGTCACGAGGGCTCTAAGGAAAAATAAATCAATGAAAGAATAAATAAATAAACCAAATGGAATGAATAAACCAATGAAGGAACTGTGGGAGAATGATAGGAGGTGTGAAGAAGACAGGGTGATATAATAATAACGATGGTAATGATCATAATAACAATCCTAAATAAAGATGGGAGGAGAGGAACTCATGAATTTAGGACCTGGAAAGAAATACAAAAAGAGAAACAGCCGGGCGCTGGTGGCTCACGCCTATCATCCTAGCTACTCAGAAGGCTGAGATCTGAAGATCATGGTTCAAAGCCAGCCCGGGCAGGAAAGTCCATCAGACTCTTTTTTTTGGGGGGGGAGGTCCGGTAGTGAGGCCTGAACTCTGGGCCTGGACGCTGTCCCTCAGCTCTTCAGCTCAAGGCTAGCGCTCTACCACTTGAACCACAGCACCACTTCTAGCTTTTTTCTTTTTGCTCATGTGGTGCTGAAGAATCGAACCCAGGGCCTCAGGCATGCAAGGCAAGCGCTCTACCACTGAGCCACCTTCCCAGCCCCTCCATCAGACTCTTATCTCCAATGAACCACCCGAAAATCGGAAGTGGTGCTGTGACTCAAGCAGTAGAGCGCTTGCCTTGAACCAAGAACTTAAGGACAGCACCCAGGCTCTGAGTTCAAGGCGAATGACCAAGAGAAAGAAGAAAAAGAAAGATTCAGCAAAAATGCCAGGAGTGGAAGGTGTGGATCAAGTGGTAGAGCACCAGCCTTGGCTGTGTTCAAGCCCTTGGACCAGGCCCGGGGGACAGGTATGAGGATTCAGGTAGAACTGAAATATACACGTTCCCCGCCCCCAGCCCCCATTACAGACTATGCTGCGGGAAGCTGGGGCCGTGTCCTGTGCGCCCCCCTG